CAGCTGAATTCTTGGCTATCAAATATTCGATATCTTTGGTCCATGGATTCTTAAAAGATTTCCATTCAGACTGTAACCTCACAAAATTCGAACTTTTATTTCGAAACCTATAAACCTAAAAACACAATACAATACAATTATAGTTTAGTCCCTTGTARAAGATAATCGTCATTTATTATTAAACTTACTTGGGTTGTAACACGTTCGGAAGATTGTAATGCAGATTTGTGTGATTCTGCTAGGTGTGGTATATCATCGTGATGATAATATTCATACATGCTAGTACCCAAAAGTTCCTGAGGAAGAAAACCAAGTACCAATGTGGCTCTAAAGATAGAAAAAAAAATTATATATTATTATTATTATTATTAATATTATTATTATTATTATTATTATTATTATTATTATTATTATTATTATTTTGTTATTATCATATTCTTTACCACAAAAATATAGAGAAAAGAAGAACTTTATTAACATYTGCGGTCATTCAATARAACGGCACAATAATTTCTCTCTTCCTCATCAATAGTTTTTCTAGTCGTTTTATTGCAAAATAGTAGCTGATACTAACTGACCTTTGATCCACGAACAAGAATTTCCCGTCCATGGCGTGTCTCGAGATAAATTCTATCGTTCGAAGACGTGGTCTTCTTGGTGAGGTTGACGGTGTTGGTAATACGCTTTGAATTCGACCTACTGCGACCAAACACGACAAATTGCAAGCTTCCCCATCGGTTTCACCTTCTTGTTCTTCCAAACCAATTTTTGCTGGTGCCCATGACTTCAGGTAACCRGTACATTGTATGACGCAATACTTCCAATCTAAGGATATACGTAAAAATGATTATACAATTAAATAATTATTCAATATTATCATTTTAATAAGAAAACATTTTAAATAATTTCTATCAATATGTTCATAAATTGATATATTATTATTCGTATAAGTGTAATGTAAAAGAAAACAAAAACAAAAAAAAAAACAAATATTAAAAATGATATATTAAGGGTACCGAAAAGAAATCAAAATTTCTTCGATGAGTACACTCACATTTAGATTGTGTCAATAAAAATTCAAAGAACTTTTTAAAAAGGAAATTGAACAGTTCTCTTTACGTAAGGTAAAATGWGTTRGAAGATGATGTAACAATTTTTTGTTAACATTTAGACATATTTTTTATTTCATTTTATTTCATCTAGAAATGAAACTCATTCTTAAACATTAAAAAGAAATAAAAATAAAAACCCCCATAACTTWGATGAATATAAAATCTATTTTACTTTCAAAGTATCAATTATCCARAGTATATATACATTCATACACATACAAAGAATAGATACGTAAAACGATAAAGGAAAGTTATGCGAATCTACAACATTTCTTCTTACCATGTTATTATGGGGTTTGAGAAAAAAAAAACAAAAAAAGAACGTTATTCCCGGGATTCTCGAGATAGTAATAACGATATTTCAAGTGATGCTACATGAGTAAAACGCGCCAACAACATTCCACGTCCTTTCACCGATCATCAAGATTTTTCACATTCGATGAAGAACTTTGTGTGTTACCTGAATTATAATCTTTTTCTCTCTCTTTCTCTTTTTCATTGAACGAAAGGAAACACGAATTCCTTTCGAAATATCAAATTTTTATAAGTTAAAGTTAAACGTAACTTTGTGTTTATACGTGTATTAGTGTGCGTATGTATGTAATTTCCACAATATATATATTTTATTAATAAAAATATTCACCATTCACATTACGAACAAACTAGTTAAAAGAATAGCTAAGTGTTATTATTTTAAAATTATTTTTTTGAAAAAGGGGACAACACACGAATCGGTCATTAACATTATGATAACTTCAATTACATCATCACCAATCTAATATTATTTTTATKAGGAAAATATAGTATTCTTTTTAATATTATATCAATGTTATTATATTAAATATATCATTAAATTTATTTTATTYGTATATTTATATATTATATTATTATTATTATATATTAAATATGTTATTATAATATATTATTGTGAATTTATCATATTATTATTTGTTTAACATTTGGTATCTTATAAATAGATAATTATTTTAATTTACAATCTGTTGAATCAGTAAATGATTTTTTTTTGTTATACRTAAGATTATAATATTATTAAGATGTGGCTTTGTTATACAAAAAATGTTAATTTAATATATTAGGTTATTAACTACGAAATGTCTGATTACTCRAACTATTTTCATCTCAAGATCAGACATTTCATATTTAATGAYATAARAACTCTAAACTATTTACTAATTTATAACAATACTTAAAATAATACAACAATTAGAATGGAATACATAAAATAATAATACATGAAAAAATTTAAAAAGCATGGTTAGGTTATGTCATGTGTAAATCTGAAATAAACGTATGACGTGAATGTATCAAAATAATTGAATTGAAATACAATGCTATCTGTTGAATATTTACAAAACCTAGAGACATTAATAACCTCCAAATAATAAATCATTTAATTTGCCCGAAAAAATTAAAATATACGCGATAAAAACTATTCCATATACTAAGATGTAGAAAAATACACAGAATAAAAAAATTTCGTTAAGATAGGTTTAGTAGTTTCGGAATTATTAGTGGACAAACATATTGTGATACTGAATTTTTATATATAAAGATATTATTACAATAAATTATTAATTTTATTAAATTATTATTTATATATTTTATTATTCCTATTATTAGGTCATTAAGTATGAAATGTCTGATTTGGGACGGAAAGWTTRGTTTATTAAATCTCGGACAATAAATAATATAATTAATCAAAATATGCACCTAAATTATCAATACAACGTTGCYATTTTACCGATATCTTATAAATACAGCTAGCGAAAAAATCTAGAGAGCAGTTGAAGATAAAATCGCGAAAGGCATTTTCCATCGCATGTTAGGTATTCAACATTTTTCCTTGCAAAAATTTGTCTAAAGCTCGTAAAAAATGGTAATTGGTTGGCGCAAGATCTGGCGAGTACAGTGGGTGAYAAAGTGTTTCCAGGTCCAGTTCCTGTAGTTTAAGTAATGTCGATCTTGAGACGTGTGGTCGAGCGTTGTCCTGCAGAAGGATTGRTCTGTCCCTTTTGACCAATCTCRSCTGCTTAATTTGCAGCTGCCTCATCATTTCTTCTAACTGTTCACAGTAAAGTGTTCACTTTTCATCGCATGTGACTATCCGGTGCCAAAATGGATCGCCTTTTAGTCTTAATACCAAAGAAACGCAAGCCTCGAAGCGGTTCCGTTGCTGACGCTCGCTCAACCCATGCGGAACAAAACTATTCAGCTTTCAGATGACATAATATTGTTGGGATGGTAACTTCAAACCTTGCTGCTAGTCCAGGGGTCGTTTCAGATGGATTTGCTTCCACTACAGCTTTCAGTTGGTCGTCATCCGCCTTGCTCTCAGGCCACCCGCGTGGTTCATTTTGAAGATCAAAATCTCCAGATCGGAATTTTTTGAACCGTCGAAATACTGTACGTTCGTTAGCCACATCCTTGCCGAACACTTCGTTAACATTTCGGCTTTCCTGCACTGCATTAGTTCCACGACGGAAGTCATATTCGAAAATAACTCGCATTTTTGTCTTATCCATGGCTTACAATATTTAACCCCCAAACGTCAATACGATAGACTATTAAAAACAAAAGAGTGCATCTGAAAGCTAGATAGCGTACCTTCTTAATGCAAAAAAAAATGAAGGACAATCGAAGTGAAATATCGGAGATATCTGGTATCAAACGTGAGGCTTTAGGTAATCAGACATTTCATACTTAATGACCTAAAAATGGGTAAATACGAAAAATAGATTCTACATAGCAGCATCGGAAGTTACTTATGACTCGGCCTAAAAAAAATATAAATAAATAAAATTTATTAATATAGTAAATTTAAATTTAATTTAAATATATTAAAAAAAAACATATAATTACAAATATATATGTATAAAATCGATATACTAATCGGTAATAATAATAAATGATGAAGAGATAATGAAATAAAATAATGTATTATCTAACAGTCAAATATATGACAATATAGGTAAAGTATGATATCGATTATATGTATACATTTGTATGTCGCAACCATTAAAACCATAAGTTTAAACTTGTCGTAAAGCTCAAACTCGTGAGTTTGTTTCTTATATCGTGATTAGGTACCTGAGAGTAATTGAGAGTTTGCGAGACCGACTCGGATACGTAGAGAATTCTTCCACGATCGCAACCCACCACGAAGACGAAGCCTTCCGCGGCCTGAAACAGGAGAAGTTGACCGTTACGTCATTGAAAACAAGCATTTAATTGAAATTACATAACGTGCAACTAATACAACTGTTTTAACAATGTTKCTATAACCATGTTACCTATCATCTTCTCCTTGTTTATAATGCAACTATTTTCAATGGGACGATTTGTTTGTTCTAGTTTACAATTGTTTAAATTATTATTATTTATTTTATTTTATTTTTGTTCAGTTTTCTTTTATATATATAACASTTGGACTGAAAAGGCTGTTGGCTAACATAGTAAAACACACTTTTTTAATAAAAATCAATTTTTTTATTTAATATAGTTGCCTTCAAGAGCAATACAACAATATAWAGCGGTCATATAATTTYTCGATACCATTTTTATAGTATGATTTCTCTTTA